AGAGAGAGAGAGAGAGAGAGAGAGAGAGAGAGAGAGAGAGAGAGAGATGGTCTGGTGATCAGTGATAAACTCTACAGATTTAAGGCTTTTTCCTCCTCAGGCAAAGCTGCAAATATAGGCTGCTTTACTTTATATACCCTACCTGTTTTCTTGTCTTTTGTTATGTGTCAGCTATGTGTCAGTTGTGTAAGTCCCTTGAAGAACAGAAGAAACTGCTGTGTTTTTTTTCTGAACAGAAAATTTGTAATAGTTTTAGTAACAGTGTAGTTCTGAGTTTTTGGCCTGTGGTCTCTCGTAACCCCCACCCCCAAATAAATAAATACAGCACTGTTTTTTCCAAAACGTACCATTGCTCTGGATTTGACCATTGGGCTGCTGACTGTTTTCCACACTCTCTTGTCGATCTGAAAGTGTTCCCTGGGAGGACAGACAGCTTGGCACGTCAGGTGGTACAATAGTCTCATCTTGAAAAACAGGAAAAAGAGAGAAAACTAAAGAACCAATGTCACAATGTTAAGAGCGGTGCTGAAATTCAGAAACAGCAGAAACCATGCTGGTTCAGGAATTCTGGGAGCTGAAATCCACAGATCATAAAGTTGGCATAATTATCTAGTCCTGATCTAAACAAATTGGGAATTGTGTAGCAATAGCCCTTAGACTTATGTACCACTTCACAGTGCTTTTACAACCTTTTCTAAGTTGTTTACAGAATCAGCATATTGCCCCCAACAATCTGGGTCTTCATTTTACCCACCTTCGAAGGACGGAAGGCTGAGTCAACCCAGTTCTAGGCACCGTTATATTCCCCAAAATGATATTAAATGATGGCTGGGAATGTCTGGAAGTTACATTAACCAGGAAAGACTCTATAGATTCCAGGAATAAATCAAGCAACGTTCTGAGGGTCTGCCCTAAACATTTAGCCCTGTCAATATAAAGTTAATTGAGATATTCCCACTGCATTCCCATTGAAGAGGGGATGCCACTGATTTGCTCTTAACTTGCTGGCCCAATCATGGCCCATAAAAATCAGCTGATGGGTGAATCATGGTTATATTAAGAAGCAAGGTGTGCATCTCCTTTGGAGTCACACTTCAAGAGCAAAAGCTCTTGCTTGAACTAAAGAACTACAGCTTTATTATATATCACCTAACCAACAATTTAATAAAAAACATGCCTTCTGTTTTGTGGTACTGAGATAGGGCAGTTTCATTTTTAGGTAATACTCTTTCTTGGTTGGCAAGTAGAATGTCTTTGACAAAAGTGAGAGCACAGAGATTAACAAGCAGCAGATAGTAGTAACAAGGCATATATTCAAATCATTGTAATGCTTTTTATGGGAAAAGAGCATCAAAGCAGATGGGTATTTTAACAGCCCTTGAATTTTTGAGCTAGGAAGAAGGCTTTCTACAAAGCAAATTTAGGATAATAGTCAAAACTGCTGGTACATAAAGCTAAGCTTAGGGATCACTTGCAATCACTTGGAAGGATGTGCAATTCTTGGAAGGATGGGTTGGAATAAGTGAAGACAAACCTATGAATTATGCGACTACTTAGCAATTCCACTTGGAACTGCCCACTATCTATGCAGAAGAACAAAGCCAATCTGCTTTTAAAACTTTTAACATTGTGCTCAATGGAGACGAAGCATTAGGAAGGCCATCTGGCCAGTAAACGCTCAGCTCCGCTCAGTCACACCAACTCCACCCCAAATAAAGAGATCAGAAATGGTCATAAAAAGAAGGAAAAAAACCGCAGAGAAGATGAGAAAGTTATTATGATGTAGTGCTCTGGCAATCAAAAACAATATTTTGGACTAACCTGTGTTTGTGACACTGTATTCTTCACTCTTCTTTCTGGTCTGATAGATGATACACACCCAAACCAGAGATGTTAAGACGATGCTACAGACTACAGCAATAGTCATGATTCCAAAAGTGGTTCCATCTTTCCGGCAGCCAAGTGAAGGCAATACGCTCACTTGGCTGTGTGCCCGTTCTGTTCCAACTGTATTTGAGATTTCACATGTGTACTTCCCAGCATCTTCTAACACAACGTTGCGGACAATAAGCAGCTGGTTGCCTGGAGTAAAGTGATGCCTCTCGGTCACAGTCAGAGAATGGTCGCCCTTCAGCCAGTTAATGCGTGGAGGTGGACTTCCAGTCGCTTTGCATTGCAGGACCACGGTTTCACCGACAGACACAACACGGTCCTCCAATGGGTGAACCAAACTTGGAGTCTCTGCAAGATCCCGAAAAGAAATGATACTGTATAAATGACATCATTCCATTTCTGATGACATAGGAAGGACCATTCTGGCACGCAGGGTTCCTTTACTCTTCCATTCTGAACTCCAGGTAGTTCTCACTTCATGACCAGTCACTCAGCAGATTTAGCAGTACTTACAGAGTTCCAGTGGCTAATTCTCCACCACTATCACCCACCCAGCCTCCATCACAAAATCATATTTTGGATGCTTGGCCACCGGCTCCCATTCTATGACCAATCCAGGCATCTGTGCCGTATCCTATCCTTACCCACTTGATTTATTGCTCCTGAGTTTTAAAGTTTGCCTCTTTAAATTTCACCCTCTTAATTTTCAATGTACTTCTCTAGGGCTGGGGTATCAAACTTGCAGCCCACGGGGTCACACATTGGCCAGCCCATGTGTCACACATTGGCCATGTCCACCCCCATTTTAGTGACGGGGAAAAAAGTCGCCACATGTCATGTGATAATGTGACGACACGAGATTGAGACCCCTGCTCTAGGGGATCCTTTTGGAAATATTGTTTTTTTTTTTTCTTTTCTTCAATAAAGGTGACCTACAAACTTTTCTTTGATTCATAAGCATTTCTTACCCAGCACGGTCAGGGTGGCATTGGCTGACACGGAACCTGCAGAGTTCTGAGCGGTGCAGCTGTAAACGCCCATGTCGTCTATCTTCACATCAGTGATGAAAAAGACATCGTCGTCGGGCATGACGTGCATGCGACGCTCTCGAGCTGCAGGGAAGTCTGTCCCGCCATCCTTCTGCCAAGCAATCTGCGGAAGGGGATGCCCACGAGCTGCACATTCCAACCGAGCAGTTGTTCCAGTACGGGCTGCAACGTCGTAGGGAGTTTTGAGGAAAGACGGCAGCACTGTGGAAAATAAAGAGAGCGATTGTACCCTCAAGCTAGTAAAGAATATTTGCTGGGCATCTCGAGCGTAAATAGGGAGTGGTGTGTGGCCTAGAGGTGGAGCTCTTGCCTCACAATCAGGAGGGTGTGAGTTCAATCCTAGGTGGAGGCGGTTGTTTCTCTCTTTGGGCACACTGAGAATATAGCTGCTGAATAAAACTCCGCACTGGTGACAGGAAGGGCATCTGGCCAGTAAACATTCAGCTACATTCAGTTGTCCAGACTCCACCCTGCAAGGGTTTGTAGGGTTGTTAAAAGAGGAGGAGGAGGAGGATCTCAAGTGCAAGTAGGACTCAATCTTTTTTCTTTTCTTTTTTTTTTGCTGAAACATGTTAAGTTCCTCTAACTTGCTGGAGGCATGGTCATGAATTTGGAACAAGCTTTCTTTAGAAAGAAAGAAAGAAAGAAAGAAAGAAAGAAAGAAAGAAAGAAAGAGAGAGAGAGAGAGAGAGAG